CTTTTCCTCCTTTTATCTTTTCTTTCTTTCCTCTTCTCTCCTCTCTCCTCTCTCTCTTCTTTTTTTATCTTTGCTCTTCTCTCTTTCTTCACTTCCTCTTCTTTCCCCTTTTCTCCTCCCTCCTCCCTTCCTTTTCTCCCTTCCTCTCCTCCTCCTCCTCTCTCTTCTCTTATTATCCCCTCTCTTATCGCCCTCCTCTCTCCTCCTCTCTCTTCTCTCTTTTCCCTCTCCTTTTCTCCTTCTTCCTACTCTCACCTCCTCCTGCTCTTCTCTCCTCTCTCCCTTCTCTCCCTCTCCTCTCTCTCTCCTTTTTCTCTTCTCTCTTTTTCCTCTTTCTCTTTTCTTTTTCTTTTCTTTTTTCCTTTTCTTTCTTTCCCTGTTCTCTCATTTCGTCTCTCTTTCTCTCTCTCTCTTCTCTCTCCCTCTCTCTCTCATCTCTCTCTCTCCTCTCCTTCTCTTCTCTCTTCTCTCTCATCTTCTTCTTCTTCTTCCTCCTTTTCTCTTTCTCTTCTCTTTCTTCCTTACTTATCTTCTTTCATTCCTCTCTCTTCATTTCTCTCTCTCTCTGCTCCTCTCTCTCTCTCTCTCATCTCTCTCTCTCTCTCTGCTCTCTCTCATCTCTCTCTTTCTTGTCTCTCTTTCTCTTCTCTCTCTCTCTCTCTCGTCTCTCCCTCTTCTCTCTCTGTCTCTTCTCTCTCTCTCTCTCTCTCATCTCTCTCCTCTTCTCTCTCTCTCTCTTTCTCTCTCTCATCTCTCTTTCTTCTCCTCCTCTCTCTCTCTCTTTCTCTCTCTCTTCTCTCTTTCTCTCTCTCTTCGCTCTTTTCTCTCTTTCCTCTTTCTCTTTCTTTTCTTTTTTCTTTCTCTTTTTCTTTCTTTCTTTTTCTTTTTGTTTCTCTCCTCTCTCTCTCTCTCTCTCTCTCTCTCTCTCTCTCTCTCTCTCTCTCTCTGCTCTCTCTCTCTCTCTCTCTCTAGTCTATCTATCTATCTATCTTATCCCTTTCAATCTATTCGTAGTCTATCTATCTATTCTATCTATCTCAGTCTCTCTCTCTCTCTCTCTCCTCTCTCTCTCTCTCTCTCTCTCTCTCTCTCTCTCCATCTCTCTTCTTCTCTCTCTCTTCCTCTCTTCTCTTTCCTCTCTCTTCTCTCGCTCTCTCTCTCTACTCTCTCTCTCTCTCTCTCTCTCTCTCTTTCTCTCTCTCTCTCTCTCTCGCTCTCTCTCTCTCTCTCTCCTCTCTCTCTCTCTCTCTCTCTCTTCTCCTCCTCTCTCTCTCCTCTCTCTCTTTCATTCTCTCTCTCTCTCTCTCTTCTCTCTCTCTCTCTCTCTCTCTCTCTCCTCTCTTCTCTCTCTCTCTCTCTCTCTCTCTCTCTCTCTCTCTCTCTTCTTCTCTCTCTCTTCTCTCTCTCTCTCTCTCTCTTTTCTCTTCTCTGTCTCTCTCTCTCTCTCTCTCTCTCTCGATCTCTCTCTCTTCTCTCTCTCTCTCTCTATCTCTCTCTCTCTCTCTCTCTCTCTCTCTCTCTCTCTTCTCTCTCTCAAATCTCTCTCTCTCTCTCTCTCTCTCTCTCTCTCTCTCTCTCTCTCTCTCTTCTCTCTCTCGCTCTCTCTCTCTCTTGTATATTTGTCTATTTTACTATGTGTGTATATATGTATAAAAGTGAGTGTATGTGTGTTTTGTGTGTGGGTATTTTTGCGAGTGGGTGTTTGAAAGGTTAAGAAAATTCTGTTCTTTATCTTTTTAAAAAGTCTATTTTTATTATATACAATTCTGGAAATATCATAAGCTCTCTTCAAAATATTCGTGACAACATTGATAGTAAGTACACGTAAGTCTTTTCATTAATGTCATTAATATGAACGTTCACGACATATGGCCTTTCACTGTTGACATTTACAAATGTACATCGGAAAAGTGGCATATCTGTTCATGTAATCTATTATTCACCTGTGTGTATGTTTTTATTTTCTTTTTTTTCAATGGTTTTTCTCTCCATTGAGACCTTTCTTTTGTCTTTGATTTTCTGTTGTAACACTATAATAAAACGGTAAGCTGTACAGTTGTGCATTGTGAAGCACTCGTTTGTTCCACTGTTAGCCGGTTTGCTAATTATTTTCTCTGTGTTTCAGGTAAAAAGCGTGTGTGCATTAAGAAATTCAGAGTACAAATTTAACCCTCGCATTCCAGTGATTTCTTTTATATCACTTTTTTCGACGATTATTTTATTGTCTATGTATTCCTTTGGACATGCATTTTTTATAATTATTTTCTCTGGGGGTTTATTTCTATCAGATTCCATTTTCTTTTCTTTTTTTAGATATCGAATGAATATCTGTGGTTAGACTATCTTTTGGGCAAGTCTTGGGCCTCCACACTCCATACATGGACGATGAAAATAAGGCCATTCAACATTGGAGTTTAACGTCGAAATCCCTATACATTATCCCTGTATCTACACACATATAATTCAAATCAAGTATGAGCAATATCCGATCAAATTATCATAGGACCATCATACACTGGCAATAGAATGACCATTGTGCAATACAGATGCGTTTCACAAAGAAACACACACTTTGTATAAGAAATCAACATGTTCGAGGATAGCAGTGTCTCGAGGAGAGAGAGAGAGAGAGAAGAGAGAGATGAGAGGAGAGAGAGAGAGAGAGAGAGAGAGAGAGAGAGAGAGAGAGAGAGGAGAGAGAGAGAGAGAGAGACGAAGAAAACAGGAACAGAGCGAGAGAGAGAGAGAGAACAGAGACAGACAGAGAGAGAGAGAGATAGACAGACAGAAAGAGAGAGAAAGACTGGTAAGAGACAGAGAGCAAGAAAGGTCAGAGGCAGACAGACACAAACAGACTCATGAATAGCTTGGCTGAACAAAGCCGCAGAGGAACAGCCAGAGATGAAACAAACAGTGACAAATAAAAAGAAAAATGAATAACTGCAATAAGATTTTTTTGTACCTGAACACCTTCATTTCATAAATCCTTCTTGATATAGTTATTGTCAAGTGGTGATTATTTTACAACAGTATTCTTAAGAAAAAAATCTGATGTTAGCTTTTCTTTCTCTTGTTGTGGCTTAAAGAGATAGGAATAGATGAGACGATGAAAAAAAATCATTAGTAATGAAGAAAATAAGCTAATGAAGATAGCGATAACGATGATGATGATGATGATGATGATGGTGACGGTGATGATGATAATAATAATGATAATGATAACAATACTACTACTAATAATAATGATAATAATAATAATGATAATAACAATACTAATAGTAATAACAATAATAACAGGAATGATAATAACGATAATAATAGTAATAATAATAATAATAATAATAGCATTTACAATAACAATAGTAGTATTAATCACTATAATAATGATTATAATGATAATGACATATGACGCTGATGTTGATAGAGCAATGATACTGATAACTCAAAGACGAGAAGGAAAAATAATAACAAAAGCAAGAAAACCAAAAAGGATAAGGATAAGGATAAGACGGAATGTCACTGACGAGGATAAGAGGAAGGCGAAGAAAAAAACCTCGAGGACGGGACTGGCCACGACGCGAGAGCGAGGAGGGAGGGAGGAAGAGGAAGGAGGAAGGAGGGAAGAGGGAACGAGGGAAGGAGAGGAGAGGGAGGAAGAGGAAGGAGGGAGGCGAGGGGAGAGGAGAGGGAGGGAAAGGAGGAAGAGGAAGAGGGAAAGGAGGGAAGGAGGGAAGGAGGAAGGAGGAGAAGGAGGAAGGAGGGAAGGAGGAGGAGGGAGGGAGGGAAGAGGGAAGGAGGAGAAGGGGAGAAGGAGGAAGGAGGAGGAGAGGGAAGAGGAAGGAGAGAAGGGAAGGAGAAGAGGGAAGGGAGGGAAGGAGGGAAGGAGGAAGGGAGCGGGAAGAGGAAGGAGGGAGGAGGGAGGGAGGGAGGAAGGGAGGGAGGAGGAGGGGGAAGGAGGGAAGGAGGGAAGGAGGGAAGGAAGAAAGAAGGGAAGGAGGGAAGGAGGGAAGGAAGGGAAGAGGAAGGAGGAGGGAGGAGGTAGGAGGGAGAGAGAGAGAGAGAGAGAGAGAGAGAGAGAGAGAGAGAGGAGAGAGAGAGAGAGAGAGGATGGAGGACGAGAGAGAGAGAGAGAAGAGAGAGAAGAGAGAGAGAGAGACAGAGAGAGAAGAGAGAGAGAGAGAGAGAGAGAGAGAGAGAGAGAGAGAGAGAGAGAGAGAGAGGGGCTAACGAGGCAATAGCTCGGGAAGTCGAGACACGTTGAGGATGACGTCATATTCAGGATGAATGGTTCGAGGATGACGTCATGGTTCGAGGATGACGTCTGTTTTGAGGATGACGTCATGGTTTGAAGATGATGTCTGGTTTGAGGATGATCAATTAGTTTGAGATGGTCATTTGAGGATTGACGTCATGGTTCGAGGATGACGTCCGGATGTGTTCTGGTTTGAGGATATGTCTGCTCTAGGATGACGTCATTTTGAGATACGTCTGCTTGAATCGTCATGGTTTAGGATGACGTCATAGTTGAGGATGATGTCGTCTGCTTTGAGGATGACGTCATGGTTCTAGGATGACGTCATGGTTCGAGGATGATGTCTGGTTTGAGGATGATGTCTGCTCTGAGGATGACGTCATGGTTTGAGGATGACGTCTGCTTTGAGGAGACGATTTGAGGATGATGTCTGCTTTCTCAGATTCGATGACGTCATGTTCGAGGATGATGTCTGGGTTGAGGATGATGTCTGCTTTGATTGTGACTGTCATGGTTTGAGGCATGAGTCTGCTTTGAGGATGTCATGGTTCAGGATCTTCATGGTTCAGAGGGATGATGATGTCGTCGAGGATGACGATCATGATGTTGAGGATGACGTTCATGCTTTCGAGGATGATGATGACGTCATAGTTTGAGGATGACGTCTGCTTTGAGGATGACGTCATGGTTCTAGGATGACGTCATGGTTCGAGGGTGACGTTTGACGTCAGCTTTGAGGATGACATCTGGTTTGAGGATGAAGTCATGGTTCGAGGATGACGTCTTCTCTGAGGATGACGTCTCGCTGTCACTTGATTCACACTTCTGTTGTAATTCTGCACTTCTCCCCTTCTCTCTCGGGTTTATCATCTGGGCCTCGGCAGCAGGGAGAGGGCGAGAGACAGCAAGAGCACCCACAGCAGGTGCGACGCAGGACAGGTGTGCGCCCCCACCCCCGTCTGCATGGCCGCGGGCTGCTCTCCTGAAATGGAAAGCACGGGGAATATTAGAAGAAAAAGATAAGAAGAGAGGAGAGGGGAGGAAGAAAGAAAGGAAGAGATAAAGTGTGCGAGGAGAGGAGAGGGGAGAGAGAAAGAAAGGAAGAGATAAAGAGTGCGAGGAAATATTAGAACCAAAAGATAGGAAGAGAGGAGAGGGGAGGAAGAAAGAAAGAAGAGATAGAGAGTGCGAGGAAGTATTAGAACCGAAAGATAGGAAGAGAGGAGAGGAGAGACAGAAAGAAAAGAAGAGATAGAGAGTGCGAGGAAGTATTAGAACCGAAAGATAAGAAGAGAGGAGAGAGAGAAAGAAAACTAGAGATATGGAGTGCCAGGAAATATAAGAACCGAAAGACAGGAAGAGAGGAGAAGGAAGGAAGAAAGAAAAGAAGAGATAAGGAAATATTAGAACTGAAAGACAAGAAGAGAGGAGAGGAGAGAAAGAAGGAAATGAAATAGAGAGTGCGAGGAAATATTAGAACGAAAGGACAAGAAGAGAGGGGAGGAAGAAAGAACAGATAAGGAGTGCGAGGAAGTATTAGAACCAAAAGACAAGAAAGGAGAGGGGAGAAAGCAAGAAAAAGAAGAGATAAAGAGTGCGAGGAAATACTAGAACCAAGACAAGACAAGAAGATAAAGAAAAAAAGAAAAAGAAGAGATAAAGAGTGCGAGAGCAAGGGAGAAACTCAGAGACGCAGAAGAGAGAGCTTCAAGGAGACGACCTCGAGGACGGCGAGCGACCCACCTTCGAGGACGACGTTGATGAGCACGGAGGAGGGGAGCGCCGAGGTGGGCCAGCAGGTGTAGTTGCCGGAGTCCGAGGGCGCGGCGTCCCTGATGGTGAGGCGCGACGTGGTTCCCTCCGGCGTCTCCTGCGTCAGGATGGACACCGGGCCCTCGTAGTCCAGGATCTCTTGGTCGCGGTACCAGTACACGAGTCCTGCGGGAAGGAGGCCGAGGCGTGGGTCGGGGTCGCTGCGGCTCTCGAGCGCTGGGGCTCCGCTCGCTTTTAGTCTGTTCGTTACTGATTTGTCTGCTTTGATTATTGTTACTAAGATATAACATAATATATATATACATATACATACATATATATATACTATATATATATATATATATATATATATATATATATATATATATATTATATATACAATATTATATATATATATATATATATATATATATATTATATATATATATATATATATATATATATATATATATATATATATACATAAATGTATATACAGGTATATATACAAATACATATATTAAACATATATATATAACATATATATATATATATATATATATATATATATATATATACATATATATACATATATATTATATATATAATATATATAAATAAAATATATATATATATATATATATATATATATATACATATATATAAATATATATATATATGTATATATATATACATACAAGTATATATATATGTATGCACACACACACACACATATACATACACATATACATATATACAATATATATATATACACATATATATATATATATATTATATATATATATATAATATATATATATACTTATATATATTATATAATATATATATTATATATATATATATATATATATATATATAATATATATATATATAATTAAAAATAGAATGTGAATTTACAACGCTCTTCAGCTCCCTCTGTCCAATAAGCACCCTCGTCCCACCCGTCCTTAGGCTCCAGCTATCAGATTCAAAACAGACTATAACCACTCCCTTTTCGTCCCTAAACCAATGAATAAATAATCAAAACTTCCCTTCCGGAGCGAGTGGCGCCCCCGACTCCCCTGACTCACCTTCCATCCCCGCCTGGCTGACGGAGCAGGTGAGGTTGATGGTGCTTCCTGACTTCACGACGCTGGGACCCTGGATCAGCGCGCGGGACTCTGCGGGAGGAGCGAAGGGCTGAGGGTCCGGGGGAGGAAAGGGTTGGGTGTGTTCGGGATCGGGGTGGGGTGGGTAGGCGCTTGCGGGTGGTGGGTATGTGTCTGTGTGTTGTTTTATTTGTGTGTGTGTGTGTTGTGTGCTTGTTTTATTTTTTTGGTGTTGTATGCGTTTTTTTATTTTTTGGGTGTGTATGCGTTGTTTTATTTTTTTGGTGTGGTATGCGTTGTTTTATTTTTTTTGGTGTGTGTATGCGTTGTTTATTTTTTTGGTGTGTAAGTATGCGTTGTTTATTTTTTGGTGTGTGTTGTCGTTGTTTTATTTTTTGTGTGTGTTGCCGTTGTTTAATTTTTTTTTTTTTTTTTTTTTTTGGTGTGTGTTGTGGCGTGTTTTATTTTTTTGGTGCCCCCTGTGTGTGCGTTGTTTTATTTTTTTGGTGTGTGTATGCGTTGTTTTATTTTTTTGGTGTGTGTGTGCGTTGTTTTATTTTTTGTGTGTTGTGCTTGTTTAATTTTTTTTTTTTTTTTTTTTTGGTGTGTGTGTTCGTGTTATTTTTTTGTGTGTGTGTTGTGTGCGTTGTTTTATTTTTTTTTTTTGGTGTGTGTGTGCGTTGTTTTATTTATTTATTTTTTATTTTTTTTTTTTTTTTTGGTGTGTTGTGTGCTGGTTTTATTATTTTTTTCTTTTTTTGGGTGTGGTGCGTGTTTTTTTTTTTTGGTGTTTGTGGCGTTGTTTTATTTATTTATTTTTTTTGTGTGTGTGTGTTGCGTTGTATTTATTTATTTATTTTGTGTGTGTGTGCGTTGTTTTATTTATTTATTTTTTTGTGTGTGTGTTGTTGCGTTGTTTATTATTTATTTTTTTTTGGCTGTGCTGTTGTGCGTTGTTTATTTTTATTGTGTGTGTGTCGTTGTTTTATTTTTATTTTTTTTTTTTTTTTGTTGTGTGACTGGGTGCGTTGCTTTTATTATATTTATTTTTTTTTTTTGCGTGTTGTGTGTGCGATTGTTTTATTTTTATTTTTTATTTTTTTTGTGTGTGTTGTGTGCGTTGTTTATTTTTTTATTTTGTGTGTTTTGCTGTGTGGCGTTTTTATTTTTTTTTTTTTTTTTTGTGTGTGCTGTGCGTTGTTATTTTTTTGTGTGTGTGTTTGGTGTGCGTTGTTTATTTTATTTTTTTTTTTTTTTTGGTGTTGTGTGTGCGTTTTATTTATTATTTTTTTTTTTTTGACTTGTGTGTGCTGTTTATTTTTATTTTTTGTCTGTGTGTGTGGTGTGCTTGTTTATTTTTTTTTTTTTTTTTTGGTGTGTGTGGCGTTGCTTTTATTTTATTTGTGTGTGTGCGTTGTTTTATTTTTTTTTTATTTTTTTGGTGTGTGTGCTGCTTGTTTATTTTTTTTTTTTTTTTTTGGTGTGTTGTGTTAATGTGTGTGTGTGTGTGTGTGTGCGCGTTGCGTCTCTGTGTGTGTGTGTGCATTTTCTTTATAGTGCATGTACGTACGATTTCTTCCTTTTTTCAAAACTTTTTTCTGTTCTTTTCTTTGTGTGTACATTTGCTGTGAGTGTGTGTATTAACTTTACTTTCCTTCGTGCGTACATGTGCCAGTGAGTGAGAGAGAAAGCGCCTATGTCGGTAGAGAGACACCCAGATAGATACACAGATACAAAGTTATATAAAACCAGACCGATAGATAGATAAATAGACATAAATGAATACAGATGAAATACCATTCTGACACAGGCTACCTATACTTAATCACCACCTGATTATAGGCCAAACCACCTTGGTGATAAGCAGGTGCTGCACATTCCAGTTACAGGTCAAATAATAGGGTAGATGATGATAACTTGCCTTATCACATTTATAATGGTGACACTAATTGACATTTCGTTGTCATTGTATGGAATAGACATCAGTTCATCATACATCTAATTCATTTGATTAGTTCATTAAATAAATATTGTTATGATAACATACAATACAATCCGGTGAATTACCGATTTTACGTCGTAGGGACATAAGAGAAATGGTATTAGGCATGTACCTGAGTCATGTTTCTCGCTATAGATAATGCATAAAACAAGATTAATTGTTTTACTCTTTTTATTATCATTATCTGAATTATCCACGTTTTTTCCTCATGAAACCAGAGATCTTGTTTTACTTTTACTATTATTATCTATGTTATCCACGTTTTTCTTCATAAAACAAGATTCATTGTTTTACTCTTTTTTATTATTATTATCTCAATTATCCACGTCTTTTCCTCATAAAACCAAATTTCTTGTTTTACTCTTTTTATTATCATTATCTGAGTTATCCACGTTTTTTCCGCTTCCAAACTTCGTCTTTCAGTGTTCACTTCCTTATCTCGGCTTCTTCCCGTTCTCGCTCATCCACCGCGTCTCCCCTTTGCACTTCCCTTTCCTCTTCCTTTTCCTCCTCCATCTTTTACTCTCCACTTCCTTCTCTCTCTTCGTCTTATCCCTGTCTTCGTATTGTCTCCTCATTATTACTGTTTCTCTCCATTTCTTCCCTCTCTTCCCTTCTCCCCTCTTTTTCTCTTGCCCTGTTTTCCTTCTCCTCTCTTTCTCCTTTTCTCTGCCTTCCTCCTCCTCCTGCTCTCCTCTTCCTATTCCTCTTCTCTCCCCCTCATCCTTCACCTTTTCTTTTTCGCTTTCGTCCATGTCTTTGCTTCCTTCTTCCTTTCCTATCCTCCCTTCTCTCCTTTCTTTCTTCATTTTTCCCCTCCCCTTCTTCCTTTCCTCCCCTTCTCTCCTTTCTTCTCTTCCCCTCTCCTCTCCTCTCCTCTCCTCTCTTTTCTTCTCTTCTCTTCACTTCTCTCCTCTCGTCTCCTCTCCTCCACGTCTCTTGCTTCCATCTCTTTCCTTACTTTCCTCTCCCCTCCCCTCTATTCCAATCTTTCTCTTTTCTCTTCATTCGTCTCCTCTCCTCCCTTTTCTCTTTCCTTTTTCTTTCCTCCCCTCTCCTCTTCTCAGGCCTTTCTTTTTCCTTCTCCTTTCTTTCATTTTCTTTCTTTTCCCTTCCCCTCCCCTCCCTTCCCTTCCCCTCCTCCTTTCTTTTTTTTCTCTTCTCTCTCTCCTTCTCCTGTCCTCTCCTCTCCTCTCTTCTGTATTGTTCTCTACTCTCATCTCTTCTCTCTCTTCTTCCCTTCTCTCTTTCTTCTCTTCTCCTCTCCTCTCATTCGTCCTCTCTCCTCTCTCCTCCCTCCTCTCCTCTCCTCTCCTCTCCTCTCCTCCCTCTCCCTCTCCTCTCTCTCCTCCTCCTCTCCTCTCCTCTCCTCTCTCTCCTTCTCCTCTCTTCTCTGTTCTTCTCTTCTCTGTTCTTCTCTTCTCTGTTCTTCTCTTCTCTCTACTCTTCTTCTACTCTCCTCTTTCTCTTTCTCTTCTCTCCTCCTCTCTTCTCTTCTCTCTCGTCTCCTCTCCTCTTTTCTCATCTCTCCTCTCCTCTCTTCTCTTCTCATATCTTTTTTTTTCTTCGCTTCCCTTCTCTTCTCTTCTCTTCTCTTCTCTTCTCTTCCTTCTCCTTCCCTTCCCTTCCCTTCCCTTCCCTTCCCTTCCCTTCCCTTCCCTTCTCTCTCTTTCTCTTCTCTTCTCTTCTCTTCTTCTCTTCTCTTCTCTTCTCTTCTCTTCTCCTATCCTCTCCTATCCTCTCCTCTCTCTCTCTCCTCTCCTCCCTCCTCCTCCTCTCCTTCCTCTCCTCCTCCCTCCTCCTCCTCACCTCACCTCCCTCCTCCCTTCCCCTTCTCTCTCTTCCCTTCTCTTCCCTCCACCTCACCTCCCCACCTCCCTTTCCCCTCCCCACCTCCCCTTTCCCTCCCGACCTCCCCTTTCCCCTCCCACCACCCCTTTCCCTTCCTCCCCACCTCCCCCCTCCCCTCCACCTCCCCCCTTCCCCACCTCCCCTCCACCTCCCCCCCTCCCCCCTCCCCCCTCTCTACTTACCAACCACCGTGAGAGAGTACGACAGAATATTCTTTGGTTCAGTGTTGATCTGGCACTCGTACACGCCGGAGTCTCTCTCTTGGGCGTACTTGATCTGCAGTGTCCAGTTCTCAGACTTCTCCGGGTGCAGCACCTGAGGGAGGAGAGAGTGGGAGAGAGTGGGTGAGAGTGAAGTGGGTGAGATGAGAGGAAAGTGGGTGAGAGTGAAGTAGGTGAGATGAGAGGAAAGTGGGTGAGGGGTGAAGTGGGTGAGATGAGAGGAAGTGGGTGAGAGTGAGGTGGGTAAGAGTGAAGTGAAGTGGGTGAGAGTGAAGTGAAGTGGGTGAGTGATGTAGGTGAGAGTGAAGTGGGTGAGAGGAAAGGGGTAAGAGTGAAGTGGTGGGTGAGAGTGAAGTGGTGGGTGAGAGTGATGTGGTTGAGAGTGAAGAGGGTGAGAGGAAAGTGGATAAGAGTGAAGTGAAGTGGGTAAGATGAGAGGAAAGTGGTGAGAGTGAAGTGAAGTGGGTGAGATGAGAGGAAAATGGGTGTGTGAAGTGAAGTGGGTGAGATGAGAGGAAAGTGGGGTAAGAGTGAAGTGAAGTGGGTGAGATGAGAGGAAAGTGGGTGAGAGTGAAGTGAAGTGGGTGAGATGAGAGGAAAGTGGGTGAGAGTGAAGTGAAGTGGGTGAGATGAGAGGAAAGTGGGTAAGAGAGTGAAGCGAAGCGGATGAGAGCAAAGTGGCTGAGAGTAAAGTGGACGAGGACATGGAAGGTGATGATAAAGACGAGAAACAAAACAGACAAAGGTGAGTGAAACCGTAACAGATGAGAACAGTGCATAAGCAGAACAAGGTGAGAATAAAGGAAATGAGAACAAATTAGGTGGGAACAATGTCGATAGGATCAAAGGAAGAAAGAATAGTGTAGATGAGGAGAATGTAACAGAATTGTCGAAGGCAATTCAAATGGGAACAAAATACGT